GTAGGTTGGCATTTCTTTCTGTGGTAGAACAGTGGCCATCCAAGACTATAGAATCCAGTCTACACTCTTATTTACCCGTAGCTGGGAGGAGAGAAGAAGAGGATTCATACCTCTACCAAGGATATTAACACGTAAGTGAATGTAATGAATTCTACTAGAATTCCATTGCATTCACTTACGTGCTAATACCCTTGGAAAAGATATGAATCATCATCTTTCTAGTAATGTGCTCATATTCGTAAGGTTGACGCATCAAAGCGAAAGGTTTATCACAACAATTACAATGAAATATTAATAGAAAAGGTACGTGGAAACTACGGCGGTGAGATAGTAACTGAATCCGAGATGCCAGGTCTGTACCAATAACATTGCAGATTCGTGTTCCAGTTTTATCAAGAATCTCTCAATACATAGCAGAAACGCCATGCCAAGTATGTCAACTATGTTCAATACATGAACGAATGGTTGTCTTATGTGAAACTCCATTATGGAATTGTAGAATTATGCAATAGATTTCACTTCTATTACTTAACACAAAATTAACTCATTTTTCTGCAATTTCTCTTATCCAATTTCAATTTCCACATTCGCATATCTTAACAAATAAACGACGTTATTAGAAACGTGCTGAAGGCTTTGAAAAACCAAACGACTATGGATCACTCCAGAAAAAGATCAACAATATATTGCCAAATGACTATGTTTATTGTCTGCTACGAAATGTGTAGAATCAGTCCAGAAAATGGTGAACAATATATTCCCTCCTGAAAAGCCAAACGACTATGTTTATTGTCTGCTACGAAATCTGGAGAATCAGTCCAGAAAATAGTGAACAATATTTTCCATTCTGAAAATAAATATTGAAAACATTGGGGAAAATATCTATTAATCAGTAAACTTCTGGGGTTTAATAAGTTAACTTCGCTCGTGTAAATTAAAAAATGTAGTTTTCAGTTTTTCCGTAAACCTTTGACCAGGGTCGGTCTTTCGTTGTTGTGGTCAAGCTGAATTATCACAAATATTTCGTATAATTTAATACGTAACCTTTCGTATATTTTATTCAAATATACTTTATTACAAAACCTTAGCGATTTTAAATTAAGCACATTTAAAACATACGAACCGAGTTATTGTTATCACGAATTTTAGCAGTAGCATAATACGGCTTTCTATGTCTGCTGATATGCTGCTACTAGAAAATTACACACATTCATAAAACAACGTTGGTACGTTACACTCTCCTTATGTAGGCACATTCTATTTCTTCTATCATATTAAGGCACTTGATTCAGGTTGTATTGTAAAGAAAACAAACAAATATATTTTTGTGTGAATTCGTTTCGCAAAGAATCTTTTTAATTACTTTCATTTGGAAATAAAACAAATGTTCAATAATTAATTTATTTAAATTTGTAGAGCCGTGTTTGAAGATCGTTTATTTTCTTCATTTTCACACACCTAAACACCTACACTTATTCACACTATTTCACTCATGCGACTATTAATATTGCTTGTAAATTTTGCAATACAATTCCATTTTCATCAGAATATCCATGTTAGAATAATCAATACAATAATTGCTATCGTACAACCAGAATATGTTTAGGATCTGATGAGAAATCTGATGAATATATATATGATTAAATAACGAATAAATATGAAATTCTTTGTAGGTCTAACATGTTTCATTATCATCTTCTATATGCCTGAGATGAGGCACTCTAATTATTTACAGTTTTTATGTTGTTCAGACTGTTGTCCTCATCTGTGTTGTCATATTCACGATGTTTCGTACACTGTTCGCTCCGACTATCTTCAGGATCTGTCTATATTTCTATCATGAGGTATTTACACTAATATTTGTGATCTTTTTCTGAACTGATTCTACACATTTCGTAGCCGACGATAAACATAGTCGTTTGGCTTTTCAGGAGGGAAAATATCGAACTATTGGCATCATTTTTGTTGTTATATTCATGCGTTTCAACCGCTGTACGCTCCAGCCTTCTTCAGGATTTGTCTATAAATCTGAGATGAGGTATTGTAACTATTCACACAATTTACGTTGTTTGGACAGTGTGGACTAACCTTTTATTTAGTCCACGGGGGATAGATTGTTCTAGTTCCACGTGCCATGCCTTTTCTAGATATCTCAGTTTCAGTTAATTCCATTTAGGATCTCAACTCTCCAAGTTTTTGTTCACCTCTGTCGTGGCCAGGGATTGAACTCACAACTCTTTGGGTCAAGTCACTGGAATACATCAACCAACGCTACTATCCAGTAACTGAAATTGGAAGTCGGTTCTCCGATTATCAATTTATTACACCACCCTTACATCCAAGCTTACAGCACAGAGTATTTCCAAGTGGTCTCTCATCTAGACATTGAACAGGCTCGACGTTGCTTAACTGGGAAACACACGTTCTCAGCAATTGTGTAATATGTGAAGAGTTTGGAAAAATCTCCCAATATCGATCCAGACTCACAAAGCCGCACAATGGGATTCAAGACTTGACTACGATCACAACCAGACGACACGCTCGATTAAACTTATTTGCTGTGTCTACAGAAATGTACGTTGGTTGGTTTTAAAATGACTGCCGGACACATAACCGACAATAAAGATTTACCTTAAAAATCAGCGAATCATTTAACGAGTAGAGAGCAGTCATACATACTGGTGGCTGTTGCTAGTTTCAAGCGATATGGCTTGTTATATATATATATATATATATATATATATATATATATATAATAAAAAGGCTTAAACACTAATATTCCATGGTCATGATTTATTCCATTGGAATCGTAAATACGGATACCCGGATGTCCGTCGCCCCATCTCTCTCCCCCACCCCTTTTTCTTTTCTTTTCCTCTTCCTCCCTCTTCATCTGATCTTTAAGATGAGATCGTCTATTGTGTGTGTATGTCACCACAAAATGGATCCTTTCCTGTTACATCTTTAATGTATTAGACATCCGACAACGTTCATATTTCTCTCACTTAAACCGTCTTCAACTCACCTCTCTAAATCTTCTCTCTGTTAAGCTTTAATCTCCCACGTTCTCTCGTCTCTCGTTACCCCTCTCTTTAGCTCTAACATTCGTCCCACACTCTCATATTTACACTCTCTCTAAATTCTATTTTTATTTCCGGAGTTGTTTTTTCTGTTTTCTTTTTGAATTTGTAGGTCTGATGAATTGGATCGTATTTACGATTCCAGTAATATTGCATATTTTTCTTTGTATTTTATCAAGAATCTCTAAACATACAGCAGGAGCACCAGACCACATCTGACAGCAAGATTCAATGCATGGACGCGTAGTAGACTGATAAATATGTAAGATAGATTCTGGAGAGAAAGATTGTCTAACGCGACACAAAGCAAAAACTTTCCTAGCAGCAGACCTAGAAATTGATTCAATATAATCTTTTCTGCTTCATGCCAGTGGTAAATGTTACCCAATAAATCGCAAGGCGTCACTCTTCGGGTGGGATTGGGAGGTAGAATTATTTCATAATATATTTATATTACGAAATTATACCAATAATTTGAAAGAGCGTATTTTGTATTTTGTTGTTTTTTGTTTTGTTTTTTTAATGTTGTAAAAGAAACATTTGTTGATATCATTTGGTGAGCTGTTCCCCTCGATGAAGACAGTAGACAATGTGATAGAGTGAACAATATATCATTGCGGATTTTAACGTACTTTTGCAAAAACTCGGAGACGAGGAGGGTATTTTTTTATGCGCAAATGCTCCAAGTAGCAGAGAGTTTTGGTACAAAAATTGAACGGTGTTGATCGATAAACAGTTCCTCTGGGAAAACATCACAATCTCTCTTTCTCTGTACAAACCCGGAAAACAGATATGCAAGGCAAGAACAAACACTAAAAAAATATACATCTATTCGGAAGAATAAATATTTAAACATTGTCTCCTATGGTATGTTTTTATGACAATTCTAAATATACAGCAAGCTATGTCAGCCTATTCATTTTAAGTCTATTCATCTCTTTCTCTCTCTCTCTCTCTCTCTCTCTCTCTCTCTCTCACACACACACACACACACACACTGTGTGTGTGTGTGTCTGTGTGCGTCTCTCTCTTACACACACACACTCTCTGTGTGTATATATATATATATATATATATATATATACAACAAGGCAAATTGAAATATATATATATATATATATATATATATATATATATATATATATATATATATAGTGAAACCTAGAGAGCCAAACAAACCTACCAAGGTTTCACCTAAGCAGATCGTCAGGTAAGGCTGGCTATTTTAAAGTTATTTTGCGTACTCGTATAGGGTTTTTTTTTTCTTTGGGCCCTGGACTTGCATGCTAGACAATTATTTTCGGCTAACGTACATGTTATTATACAAACTGGTAAAGCAGGTTAGTAGTTCCAGGAATACGTGTTAGTAGCAAAATATCTATACAGTCTTTGGTATTGAAGTATCGCTGTATGACTTCTTACTGAGTCTACGTGCTCGCTCACTGTGACTCCTACAACGCTGTTACCTCACCCTCACTCTTCCAGTTACCTACAACCTTTTACTCCTGTCACTCTGGAATCGACTCCTCGGTCTTTCTCTCTCGGGTCTTCACGTAGCTGTAGTATATGTATATACTGGGTGAGTCCATTTGTGTAAAAAGGGGAGAACCACTCAACATATATATATATATATATATATAGATAGATAGATAGATAGATAGATAGATAGATAGATAGAATCATGTCGCCCCAAGCAAAATACTATTCTTAGACGACGCGATAATTTCTTTCATTCTTTCTTTTCTCGACGAAAATGCCACTAGTACGCAGGGGTTTTACAGAGATTGAAACTCAGAGAAAATACTGTGTATAGAGGAACTGATGAAAGGGTAAAAGATGAACGGGACTCCAGAAAATAGAAGATGGCTATTGATGTTGCATTTAAATTTTTAAAGATTGTAGTTTCAGGGAAGCAAGTAAACTGAAAGTTCCACTGGCGAGAAGTGCGAGAAAAGAAACTGTTGGAGTAAACGTGACAGTTACATTTAACTAATTCAACAGTAAAAGAATGCGACCCAGATGAGAATTTAGTAGTTAAACTCACGTAGTCCGGGCATCAGAGAGAATAGTTTGTCAGAGCAGTTACTATGAAAATATTTATAGAAAAGACAGAGGGAAGCCATGCCACATCGGTGAGAAAGTCACTAAAGTTGAGATGCCAAAACAGGATCAAATACATTGCAGATCCTTCTTTGGATTTTGTCAAGAACCTCAAGATGAATAGCAGGAGCACCAGACCGGATATTCAATGCACGGACGAATGATAAATTTATAAATGGACAAGACGGACTCTGACTCTGCTGGAACGACATTGGGACCTGAATTTCCATGAATAAATGCAGCTATTAACTTAATGAAGTGGTCTCACCTCAAGTCACTTGAAAAAGTCAGGCCAAGAAGGCGAAAGGTGCTGCTCTCCGAGAGTCGAGCACCAGACATACTGATGTGGGAAAGGAAAGTTTCTCTGATGATTAAAAGAGAGCTGTTTTGTTTAGGAGGCATTAAAATTTCCAAGACATTTCCTGAAGCAGTTAACCATTGATTGAAGGTCCTTTTCAAGAGCAGCCGCCAGGTCTGTTTTGTCAGCTCCGAATGATTTGTTACTGCAACAGCAGTAAATGGTAGTGTCATCTGCATAAATGCCTATATATATGTGTGCATGTGTGTGTGTGTGTGTGTGTGTGTGTGTGTGTACGCGCGCCAGTCCCGGTTCATTTATATCTGTCAATATTTTTCACACATAGCTGTCCCTTATAAATGTGTGTGTGTATGCGAATGTCTGTGTGTCAGTTTCGTTCATATCTAGCTAATCAGTCTATTCCTATCTGCCTGTTCATATCTCTCTCACCCACTCTCTCACTTTCTCTCTCTCTCTCTCTCTCTCTGCGTTTGTCTTTCGTCTCTCTTTCTCTCCACGCTCTCTCTCTCACTCTCTCTTATATATATATATATATATATATATATATATATATATATATATACACCTACATATACATGGTGCGATGAATAAATTGTCGTTTTAATTACGCAACAATGAAAGTAATACCGACGTCTCATTTTAAAATATATATTCACCAAAATTACACCACAAGAATATGTTGAAATACTAAAGAGCAAATTTATTCAATAAAGTGGCCATTGGCTCCAACCACGGACTCCAGACGACTTCAGAATCTCCTGCAACTTTTCTGGATGGTCACCTTGTTTAAAAAGCTTGCCATCGGTTCGTCTTTAGCGTTACAAGAAGTTTTGTTAATCTCTCGCTCAACTGCAACCCACACATAATAATCAAGTATGTTGTAGTCTGGGGAGTTAGTTGGCCAAATGTAAAGGGTGACCCAGTCGCAGAAATTATCTGACAGCCATGAGTGCGCTCTTCTCCTTATATGGCATGGTACAGATTCCTGTTGCCAGACATAGGATCTTCCAGCAGCCACCCTCTTGACACAGAACAGCACTACCTCCCCAAGGAACTATATATGCCTCTTTGTTGAGTCCGAGGCCCTCACCAACAAATTTAGTTCTTTTCTTATCGGGACGATCAGAATGAGTTCTCCGAGCTGCAGTACCTTCGTAATCACCATTAAACTCATCCAATTCTTCCCGAATCCCCTGCAATGTCCTCAGATTAACACTCAGACATTCTGAAAGGTTCGTATTGAAGCTTCCGGCCGTTTTCAAATTTCTTTCGGGGTGAATTGTGTCATGGTGCTCTTTTTCTCACAGATAGTGCCCAACTGAACCCACTATACAGTGCATTAATTAAAATATAAAATGACGACAATTTACCCATCGCTCCCTGTATATATGTATGTGTACTTGCCAGTCCCGGTTCATATCTATCTATCTATCTATCTATCAGGTCACATCTATCTATCTATCTATCTATCAGTTTACGTGTCTGTGCATTCCGATTTAGCAAATGGATGCTATTTTATGTTAATGAGTGCAACTGATTTTTCATTAAAAATGGAACCTTAGGCAAATGATCATTTCTCCAAAGTTTCACAGTCAGCTCGGTTCAGGAAATTCATGCAAATTTTGCCAATTTAGAACAGCAAGTTTATGTTTTTTAAAGATAGATAAATGAAATATGCATGGAACAAGAAAGAAAAAGAAAGAAAAAAGAAAAGGATAGATAGATAGATAGATAGATAGATAGATAGATATGAACAGACTGAAATAGATAGGATGTGACTGGCATGCATAGATAGATAGATAGATAGATAGATAGATAGATAGATAGATAGATAGATAGATAGATATGAACAGACTGAAATAAATACATATGAACTGACTGAGATAGATAGATAGATAGATAGATAGATAGATAGATAGATAGATATGAACAGACTGAAATAGGATGTTACTGGCATAAATAGATAGATAGATAGATGTGAACAGACCGAAATAAATACATATGAACTGACTGAGATAGATAGATAGATAGATAGATAGATAGATAGATAGATATGAACAGACGGAAATAGGATGTTACAGGCATAAATAGATAGATAGATAGATGTGAACAGACTGAAATAAATACATATGAACTGACTGAGATAGATAGATAGATAGATAGATAGATAGATAGATAGATAGATAGATAGATAGATAGATGTGGCTGGCATAGATAGATAGATAGATAGATAGATAGATAGATAGATAGATATGAACAGACTGAAATAGGATGTTACTGGCATAGATAGATAGATATAGATAGATAGATAGATAGATAGATACATGTGAACAGACTGAAATAAATACATATGAACTGACTGAGATAGATAGATAGATAGATAGATAGATAGATAGATAGATAGATAGATAGATGTGGCTGGCATAGATAGATAGATAGATAGATATGAACAGACTGAAATAGGATGTTACTGGCATAAATAGATAGATAGATGTGAACAGACTGAAATAAATACATATGAACTGACTGAGATAGATAGATAGATAGATAGATAGATAGATAGATAGATAGATAGATAGATGTGACTGGCATAGATAGATCATTTGCCTAAGGTTCCATTTTTAATGAAAAATCAGTTGCACTCATTAACATAAAATAGCATCATATTGCTAAATCGGAATGCACAGACGCGCAAATTGGTAGATAGATAGATAGATAGATAGATAGGAATTAGACAAACATGAAATATATATATATATATATAGATATAGATAGAGAGAGAGAGAGACAGAGAGAGAGACAGAGAGACAGAGAGACAGAGAGATAGAGATAAACTACCAACAAGAATGACCTAGTCAATTTCTATTCCCACCATGTAACAATATCAAATCCGGAATAATATTGGGATTCTGTTGAAGTGCATTTACAATCTGAAGCCCCCAATACGTAGCCAATGATTAAATATACATAGAAAACACCTTCAAAAACATCCATTATATTTATTATTTCATCCACCATGCTAGGAGAAAGATATGCAGAATATACGACTGCAAAAAAATGACAAAATCTTTAACAACAATAAACTAGATAAAAACAGATACATAATACTACCTACTAACTCATTAACACACACACACACACACATATATATATATATATATATATATATATATATATATATATATATATATATATATATATATAAAAAATTCTAATCTTTATATATATATAAAGCAATTCACCCTAAGCAAGGCGTGAGTGCCACTAGCACACAAGGGGTTACAGAGGATTTTGAACAAGAGTAAAGAGGTGTGTTTGAGGAAAGGATATAGAGAGGGACGGGGAACAAGTTCAGGGTGTCAGATGTCATTTGACATTACACTTGAATATTTGAAGATTTTTGTTTTCGGGGAAGCGAGTGAGCGGAAGAGAGTTCCACAGAGGGGAAGTGCGAGAGAAGAAAGTGTTTGAGAAGAAAAGACAGCTACATTTAACCATTTTGACAGTGAAAGGCTGGGATGAGATGCTCGCTTAAATTCTTGCAGTCTGGGAATCAACGAAAGTAGCTCGTCGGAACAGTTGCCGTGAAAATAGTTGTAGAAGAGAAAATAAAATAAATATTTTAGCTTTGGGTTTTTTTTACAATTTTTTTTTAATGTAAATTAGAATTTAAATTACTTTAGTTTGGGATTACTTTATATAATACGAAATAGACTAATACTGACAATTATTTTAATATATTTTATTGTTATAAGTTATTTAATTTGGGTCTATATAAATAGCGTATATAAAATATATTAAATCCCAAACTATTAATATTAATCCCAGACTAAAATGATTTAAATACTAATTTATATAAAAAAAAACCTTCTATATCATTTACTCATTTTCGTTTAATAGTCATTTATTTGTGTCACTTCGCGTACTCCATAGTTTGCCTGACTTTTCAGCCAACCTGATGAATATTTATTAGCGTTCCTAAACTTCGATTTGAGAGACATCATCCACAGTGTGTTCTAAGCACACGGCCAAATGATCAATCAGAAAGTCTACAAAGAGATTCTGCATCGTTTGTATCGTTTGCATCGCTCCGTGCGCTATCACAGACTAGAGTTATGGCAGGACAATGGTGGTTGCTTTACCACGACTATACCATACTGGAACAACTTCCCTATTAACCTAATCTTGCTCTGTATGACTGTTTTCTCCAAGTTCAAGAGAATCACTAAAGGAACCCATTTTGAAGACGTGGAGGCCATCAAGATGGAACTGAGGGGCATCCAAAAAGAATCCTTCCAGCAGTGCAGAGAAGGGTGGCAGTGAAGGATGGGAAAGTGCATTAGACATATGAGGGGGTTATATTGAAGGGGAAAGCATCTAGTTTGGAATTGAAATAAATTGTTTGCAACACCAGTCACGTTAGTTTTCAGACAGACATAGATAGATAGATAGATAGATAGATAGATAGATAGATAGATAGATAGATAGATAGATAGAGAGACTGAGAAGGAGCGACTATTTTATAAGCCTTTCTTTTATAAAGAGGGAAAGAATATTAAAAATAATAAATTATAAAGCACAATGCATAAATAAGGCAGTGTATTCTAAGATTTTATAGAAACAAGAAACCCAGCAAATATATTTAAAAGTCTATTTCCTAATAGTAACCGTGTTTACTGCTTTATTAAGTTTATATATATATATATATATATATATATATATATATATATATATATATATATATATATATATATATAGTAAACGTAATAAATCCGTTGGTATATAATCAAGTGGATCCTAGTAATATAAAATATTAAAACTGATCCACAAAAAGAGCCCAATGTATTTATTATAACAGCATATGCCTATATATTTATAATATTACACAACAAAATCCCAAATTTCCTCATATGGAGGTATATGAGGTAATTTTGTATTCTTTTTTGTAATACTTATATATATATATATATATATATATATATATATATATATATACATACATATATATATCCTTATCCTTATATATATCCTTATATACAATTTATACTGTTTTAATGTTAATATGTCAACGTCGGACGTTTCGGTCTAATAAACCATCTTCAGGACATATTCATAAATTATAACATTATCAATACAACATGACAAAGACGATGTACATAAGAACAAGACTTATCCAAACAAATAACTGAATATATATATATATATATATATATATATATATATATATATGCACTGCGTGCCAAGTTATTATTGAGATAACTTTTTTTCTAATATTTCAAAAACGGTCCAATCAATTCACACAATGTTGGCAACACTGATCTGCGCAATCACTGAAATTTTCGTACTGATCTGTGCAATGTAAACAAACTGGCGCCATATTTGTTATCAGCACGGTGATTTGAGCGTGCCAAATTATTAGAAAGGTTTAGTAAAATTCCTAGAATTGAGCAGACAAAACGTTTATTAATGTTGCACGTGAATGTTTATGATCAAAAGAAGCTAATAAATAAGATAATCAGACAAATAATAACAGATACAAACAAAGGCACAGTTTAAAACAAATTAAGAGGGAATGTGCTTTCCCTGTTTTGAAATTACTTGAAGAAGTCGACGATCTATAGAATTTGTTAATTGTAGGATGTCATCTGCTGTAATGCCGTGAGATATGTCAACAAATGCTTTTCACAACTCAGCGTTGCTCCTGAATTGTCGTCCGTTGGCGTACAGTCTTCGCTTCATGATGCTCCAAAGGTTTTCGATTGGGTTCAAATCCGGAGAATTTGCTGGCCACTTCATATTTCGAGGTCCATCGAAGCCTAACTGTTTCAAATATTCAGTAGTCTTGTGAGCAGCATGTGAGGGAGCATTATCTTGCATGAAAACAATGGCCCTTCTGAAGGCAACTCTTTGCCTTTTCATCCACGGTTCAAGATGCTCCTTCATAAATGATATGTATGCATCAGCAGTCATTTTGACGCCATCTGGTACTCTCCATGGGCCCACTAATGTTTTTCCAATAATACCACCCCAGATCATTATGCCTCCACTGCCTTGTTGGCGTCTCAAACGCTGATGGCGATTCTGTCCATTCATTACTCAGCCTTTGCATCATCTATCTGGCCCATCAAGTGTTGCGCGAGTTTCGTCTGTGAACAAAACTTTAGAGAAGTCAATCTTCATATTGTCTTCGGCCCATTTCAGTTGATTTTGAATGTGATTTCTCGTCAACGGAGGCTTCGATACAAGTTTGACTGTTGTTGCTATTTCCCTCAGATACCGACACCGAGTACTTTTAGACACAGTAGGATCCCCATGCGACTGAAAAGCTTTTGACTAGTAAGTCCAGGGTACTTCGTGGCCTCTCGTTTAAGTCGTGACATGAGACGACATGAAATAACCCTCGGCTTACCTTTACCTGCTCTTTTGCGTATTTGTGTAGGGTCGGCGGTGAACTTTTTCACTGTTTGATGACACCTTCCTATCATTTTAGAAATTTCTAGGGTAGATTTACCTTTTGAGAGTTCTGAAGTGATAGTTTTCTTTTCAGCATCACTTAAACTGTTTTTATGGTCCGTCTTTTCACTAAATTCTTACACTTTTCTAATTATTTGGCACACTCAAATCACCGTGCTGATAACAAATATGGCGCCAGTTTGTTTACATTGCGCAGATCAGTACAAAAATTTCAGTGATTGTGCAAGTCAGTGTTGCCAACATTGTGTGAAAATTTTGTGTGAATTGATTGGACGGTTTTTTAAATATTAGAAAAAAGTTATCTCGATAATAATTTGGCACGCGGTGTGTGTGTGTGTGTGTGTGTGTGTGTGTGTGTGTGTGTGTGTGTGTGTGTGTGTGTGTGTGTGTGTGTGTGAAAAGTGTGTGTATATAAATATAAACAGAAATATATATATATATATATATGTGTGTGTGTGTGTGTATGTGTGTAAGCAAATATATGGATATAGATCCGACAGTATGAAGAAAATATACGGAAAAAACAAACAAAAATCCTTATATACAATTATGCTGTTTTAATGTTAATATGTCAACGTCGGACGTTTCGGTCTACTTAAACCATCTTCAGGACATATTCATAAATTATAACATTATCAATTCAACATGACAAAGACGATGTACACAAGAACAAGACTTATCCAAACAGATAACTGAAAGTTTTATAAGATCAGCGCTCCGTTTAAAACATGGTCACGTTGTCGTCACGTTGTTCTTATGTACATCGTCTTTGTCATGTTGAATTGATAATGTTAATTATGTTTATGAATATGTCCTGAAGATGGTTTATTAGACAGAAAAACGTCCGGCGTTGACATATTAATTAAAACATATATATATATATATATATTTTTTCCGTATATATTTTTTCATTTTTATATATATAGAGAGCTTCTAAAACAAAACAGCAGCTCAATCTACATTTGTTTATAGATCTTGAAGATAGAGAGCTGCTATTTTTATAGCTCTCATGAAATAAAAAATTATTACCTATGGGATTTTAAGTGTTTAATATTCTTTTATTAATATATATATATATATATATATATATATATATATATATATATATATATATATATATATATATATATATCCTCACCGATAACAAGACAGGAGTTTCATACTCAACGGAATCTTTCGGTACTGAGTGATCTTTATGCATAAACCCAATATTCAGGGGTCAGATTTAGGATTTAAGAAACAGTAAATATTTTTCTATATAGTGTCCAATATTAAATTATTAACATAATATTGAAAATAGACCGTTGATAATATTATTTTAAAAGATTACTTAATTTTTAAATATCAATTTTATCCCGACTTCGAAGTTTCTTGGAAAATTTATAGCCTTCACTGTGTTCTACTTATAAACAATATTGCCATTTTTTCCGACCATTAAAAATAATTGAAGTATCCTTTAAATACAGAATCCCATGAAGACTGGAAATTTTACCAAGATACTTCGAAGTAGGAGAAAAATTTAATATTTACAAGTAACCTTTTCATATATTAGTAATTTATAACATTCTATCTCGTTATATATATACATATAAATGTATATATATATATATATATATATATATATAAATATATATATATATATATATATATATATATATATATATATAATGAATATATATATATACATATAAATATATATATATATATATAAATGAATATATATATATATATAAATGTATATATATATATATAAAATGAATATATATATATACATATAAATGTATATATATATATATAAATGAATATATATATACATATAAATGTATATATATATATATATATAAAATGAATATATATATATACATATAAATGTATATATATATATATATATATATATATATATATATATATATAAATGACGATTGTCTCTAGCATGAAACAGACTGTCGCGTCTAAGTGTTGACTTCAATGTTCACTTTACTATTTACACAGGCTCTATCTCTGATATTGAGCACTTTATCCCATAAATATAGCACACCTTAAAATTATATTTCTTCATATATATATATATACATTCATATATATATATATATATATATATATATATATATATATATATATATATATATATATATATATTCATATATACATGTACATATATATATATATATATATATATGTATGTATGTATTATTAGATAGATTGGTATAAACTATATATATATATATATATATATATATATATATATATATATATATATATATAATGAGATACAATGGTATAAGCTGGGAGAGAAAGAATGAATGAATGATAAAAAGAAAGAAAAAAATATTTACTATTTCCGAAAGATAGGTTGAGTAAAGAGTTGAAGCATTTTTTTCTCGTTGTAATTTTTTTTCTTTTTCTCTCTTTGCTACGCCAGACTTTGCGACGATTGAAGCCGTAATAAAGGGAAAACTTACCGGAACACGGACTGAAATTCCAGATCTCATTCTTCTGCAAATTCCCCGGCGTAATGTGTAATTGCTCCTGTGAAAAGATCTATTATTTCAATCTGAACACATCTCGATTTGGACCGAGGAGAAATTAAGCTCAGCGCAATGGAAGAAAATTAAAACAAAAAAAGGACTCATAAAGCAATCTGAACTGGGTTTGTTTTTCTTTCTTTTTTTTTTTTTTTTTTGTGGGGGGTCATATCAAAATCTTCCTTTTTTAGAATGTGACAATTGCATACGCTTTCACTCGCGAAACCTAATTCAATACGCCTACAATTCTAAAACAAATATTATTTTTCATGTTTTCTTCATCTTAGGTTTTTTTTTTTAAACTTGTTCGAAGTCAGCTACTTTATCTTGAATGTTGAAAAACAATAAAATTCCTGAAGATATAAAATAAATTAAAATCTGTTGAACGTTGTATGAAAAATTCCAGCGTTCAGAGAAGCACCCGCGCGAGTGTCTGTTGCACAAAGTAGCATTTCTTGGAGAAAAAGAGATATTTTCTATTTAGATGTGAGATAAGACGGAA